TGAAGAATCATTAGGTATATAAATCAGCTGTTCTATTGATTCTATTTGTTGTGATTTTATAAATGAATGTTGAATATAGGCTTGAAAGTAAAATATAATAAGAACTTAATAAACAAGTCTGCATATGTTTGATAGGTGGAAATCATACTGACGATCTATATCTAAGAAGAAAAAAAAATTAGATTTTTCCCGTTCAGACACACAGTCATCTGCGCAAGATTTAATGACCCTTGGTGTTGATCGCTTCCTACCATCTTGATTTAATTTAGTTTTCAGAGATTTTACGTTACTGAATTCAAATTTTAAAATACAGACAGACAGATGTGTTTAGATAGTGACATTTTTTTTCAGAAGAGTGTATTATCAGCAAGAAGAAGGTACACGGATTTATCAAGCGGTGTTGTTGGGCAGTAGGTTTAGAGGATGACCATGGGCCTATGTTAGCAGACGTATTGGTGGCGGCAGACTACAGGGGCCACTACAGTCATGGTCTTAAAAATCTTGGTAAGCCTTCTCAGTCTCATCACATGATGGCATCCATTAATGTTATGTTTATGATATTTTTCTTTATCATATACAATAATTATTCTGATTTCACTCTATTCTAAACATAGAAAGTACTAATATATCTGTAACAAATTTATAAGATTTATTACAGTGTCTTTGGATAAGTTTGACACATATGTAAGATACAATTCTGTATTGTGACATCTGATAAGCATTTCAAATGTGGCAAATATATGAACTTTAAAGTTCTTAACATTTGCTTCAGATAAGTATTTGAACAATGAATTCATTGTATTGTTTTGAAATAATTTGTTAAACGATAAAACAAAATATTTATTGCATTACTTTGTCTACAGATCAGCCATAAAATGATGAGCTAAAATGTATACCTCAAGATGGGCCAAACTATTTCATTATAACCAAACCTATAAAAAAATCTAAATGTTATGTTATGTGCGATTCATAACTGATATTTCAGTATTTATTACTATATTTCTAATGCGTGACTCACGCAGTTAAGGCTACATTTTGCATATTTTAACCTATATTTGGTAAAGAACATGGATTGTCCGGACCGTTTGCAATGTGTTAATTACTTTCTTTATTCACTTCACAAGATTGTACTTTTAAACACCCTTTTCAAAATTTACATGCAAATAAGCGTAAATCTGGAGGCTTGCAGTTTTAAGTTTAGCAATATGACAAAAATATAACTTTTATTTTTTGTCTTCAGATAAATATTTGAGCGATGTAACAAACCGATTCGTAGCAAAGAAGGGTGTTCCGAGGATTGTCAAGCAAACTCAAGCAACGGCATTGGTGGATGGGAACAATTTACTTGGTAGATGATATTTTATTCCTCCCAATATACCAGGGGACCATCTGTCTCTGTGAAACGTAACTTATGAAAAACTGTCATTATTATGATTCTGTTTCATTTCAAGTATTTTATTTTTTTTAAGTATATAATAAAGTTTACAATGTGTCAAATTCTAGATTATTTATCTTCATCATTTATGTATTTCTTCATTTATTTATTTACGTCTTTATTTATTATTTCGTTATATGGTTGTTATTGTTGTTGTTGTTGATGTTGATGATTTGGTCCCGACGGCTATACAGCGCACGTACATGTAAAATGTTTGGTATATTTTAGGACCAGTTGTCGGGAATTATTGCATGGATCTAGCTATTGAAAAAGCAAAACAAAGTGGCATAGGATGGGTTTCGGTCAGCGGTACGTTTGTTCTATATTTTTTACCTGTTACCTCATCATCATCATCATCATCATCATCATCATCATCATCATCATCATCATCATCATCATCATCATCATCATCATCATCATTATCATTATCATTATTATTATCATTATTATAATTATTATTATTATTATTATTATTATTATTATTATTATTATTATTATTATTATTTTCATTATTATTATTATTATTATTATTGTTATTATTATTATTATTGTTTGTTTATGTATGTCAAACATTAAAACAAATGACTAAAGTCTTATAAAAAGCAATATTTATTTGAATCATCTGCAAGTTGAAGACTCTTTCTGTTAATTTAATAGTTGTTGATATTGAATCCTTTCGTCTTAATTTGTTGTTTTTGTTAGTTGAGTCATTTTATTGCCAACAAATGATTTTTACATAATTACACTTGATGAAAATACAACACTTATCGACCAGACAGAGCGATACTTATAAAATAAAGTCTAGGCAACAACCAGCATTGCTACTGCAGAAAACACATGGGCGGCACCGAAAAAAGTAGGAATGGACACAAAAGTTGGGGAAATGGAGAAACTGATCGCAAAAATATGTATATCAATAATAAAAGCTATCAAACTTTGTTGTATGTATGTATGTTGTTGATGTGTTTGTTTTTTATGGTGTTGTTGTTGTTATTAAATGTTATTGTTGTTGTTATTTATTTAATGTTGTTGTTTTTGTAGCTGTTGTTGTTGTTTTTATTTTTATAATTAATATATAATTATTATTATTATCATTATTATTGCAATTATCAAGTAATCAAGTAGTCATTATATATTTAAAGAGATCCAAAATATGTGGGCTTCTCGTTAAACAAAGTAGATTAATGAATTGGTATTCTTTCTTCAGGGTCAAATCATTTTGGAATGGCAAGTTGGTATGGTATCCGTGCAGTAGACAAAGGATTTATTGTAAGTTAAAATAATGGCCATGAAAACAGAAAATGAAACAATATAACAAATTCTATTCTTAAATCTTCGATGTAATTTACCTCATAAGATCTGATTTTTCTTTTTTTATAAAATAGCATGGTTATAACGGATTTCAATCGACTAACATAATTATTAAGTCGAACTGTATACATCAAGTACGCCAAATAATAAAGAACACAGTGTACAACATGATGTCTTATACATATACAAGATGTTGACTAAATAATATCATTACTTTTTATCATTATTATAATTTTTTTTTATTATTTTTTATTTGTTTTATTTATTTTTTCAATTTTATTTTATTTTCTTATTTGTTTTATCATTATTTTACTTTTTATTGATATTCTTTTATTTATTTATTTATTTATTTTCATTTTATTTGGGGGGGGTGTTGGCAGCTTACATATTTGAACTGATTTATCAGCATGTTTATCAGCATGCAATACGGGTGGTAGTACATGTAGTATTTGTATGGCTAACAAAACCATTTTATATAAAGATCTTTTATATGAAACATTTAACAAAGAATAGAGATAAATACCATTCAGTATTAACCCAGCGTTCATTATACTTTTCAACAAATGTAAAATTGCGAATTTATAAAGAAATTCACAATATAGGTAGAATGTATGTAATTTTTAATAATGTATCCAAGGGAATGGCATTTACGAATACTGGTGCTGGTATGGCACCAACACGAGCGATACAAAATGCACTTGGTACCAAACCAATATGTATAGCGGCACCAGCGAAAGATGGTGACAGTTTTGTCCTAGATATGGCAACTACAACAGTAGCATTTGGAAAGGTCAGGCTATTTCATTTGATGCTTTTCAAAATGTTTAAAGACATTATCCATATCTTGAATTCAAAGACATATTTATTTTGTTAACATCTTGTAGTTTGTAGATCGATGATTGAATAATTTTCATCAGCGAAACCTACGGTACACATTCCGTGTATACTACATACCCGATACTGGTATACGGTAAATAGCCTTGGTTACCGAGAAAAAAAGTGATTTCAAAATTGCTCGCTAAGTTAATTCAAATGTTAATCTCAGATGAAAAGTAATTATAAATGTATTGATAAAGCTTAAACGTGGATTGGTCAACAATGAACAATTTGTTATCAGCTATAATTATAGTATTTGTTATTTTGCTTTACGGGGAATAGTTATAACGGATCATTTGCAGACATCTATATACAGGCCAGTTAGCTATAATCTGATTTTAGAAATTCTTTCGATACACGTTGTTTTCATTCGAAAATAGTTTATACTTAAGGCGTGATAAAGGATTTAACTCAATACAGGATTGGAGCAGTACCGCTAGACGCTTGCAAAAATCATGATCACAAAATAGACAAATATCGTTTTTTTCGCTGATTCTTACATTTTCCATTCATTATCATACATAAATCGGTGTGAAAAGATGAATTAGACCTATTAAAGTTCATTCCGTTGGGTAAAAAGGCAAGACTTTAGCATTTTATGATTCAAGCTCCTTGCCCGGAATACGGTATTTAGTGTGGTGCTCGAATCCTTTTTTAAGTCTCACTCCGCGATGAATCGTACGATAAAAATCGTCCATAGCAACGTACATTGGCAGTTGTGAATATGCAAATCTTTCCATTTCTTATTTGTTAAACGTGGTATTTCTCTTAAGATAGAAATGTGTCGTAAGTTTTTTCTTCTTCTTCGTTAAGACTACTATTGCTTAATAGGGTCTTTTATGAGAATATGTACATGTATGATCAGGTAATTTTGGCTGATATGAAGGGTGAAGCTATCCCAACAGGATGGGCTGTTGATAACGATGGAAATGATACTGTTGATTGTTCAAAAATGTACGGCATTCATCCCCTTGGTGGAAGAGAAAACACATGTAAGTAGTCAAATTAAGGTGGTTACTGGAACATAAGACAGTGACATTTTATTGTAGATTGTTAATAATGCACGATATGTATCAACTTGGACGAAGAAAAATACACACGTAAGAAAACAAATAGTGGCGATAAGAAGGCTCCCAAAACCTTGTGACATCTTTTATCTTAAAAATCAAAAAATGATCTTTATTTTTATAATATTATGTTAATATATAACTTTTAGAAAAGATATAATTAATTATTACTTCCTTCTTATACAATAAAATAAAGAGGAACATTTAAGAAATCAAGTAAAGAAAAACAAAAATCCTAAAGATAGGTGAACATGTCAAATTGAAAACGTTGCAGGCTCGGTTTGATTGAATTTGTTCATGGACGGAAGTGGTAAAAGCAAGCTACCATCAACGCCCGCTTGCACCGGCTTATACATAACTTAACATGAACTGGTAAAATTTTGAAACAAGTTTTTTATGAATTATACAGCAGGATATAAAGGCTATGGTTTAGCAGTGATGGTTGAAATGTTTTGTTCTATGTTGAGTGGATCTTTATGTGGGTACAATATGGAAGTAGGTGTTCACGATGTCGACTGTGTGGTAATTGTTTTTGTGCCCCCACATTAGTGGCGGGCATTTAGATTTACCCTTGTCCGTCCGTCCGTCTGTCCGTCCGTCCTTCCGTCCGTCCTTCCGTCCGTCCGTTCACTTTTGTGTCGCACGTAACTCAAAAAGTATTTTACCTAGAGTCATGAAACTTTACAGGAATGTTGATCAGCATGTGTTGTTGTGCACCTGGGTATTTTCGTCTGGATATTTTTAGTATTTTCAGAGTTATTGCCCTTGACTTAGTAAAATTTTGCAATTTTCAACTTGTATCGCTGTAACTCAAAAAGTATTTGACCTAGAGTCATGAAACTTTACAGGAATGTTGATTAGCATGTGTTGTTGTGCACCTGGGTATTTTCGTCTGGATATATTTAGTATTTTTAGAGTTATTGCCCTTGACTTAGTAAAATTTTGCAATTTTCAACTTGTGTCGCATGAAACTCAAAAAGTATTTGACCTAGAGTCATGAAACTTAACAGGAATGTTGATCAGCATGTGTAGTTGTGCACCTGGGTATTTTCGTCTGGATATTTTTATTATTTTCAGAGTTATTGCCCTTGACTTAGTAAAATTTTGCAATTTTCAACTTGTGTCGCAAGTAACTCAAAAAGTATTTGACCTAGAGTCATGAAACTTTTCAGGAATGTTGATCAGCATGTGTAGTTGTGCACCTGGGTATTTTCGTCTGGATATTTTTAGTGTTTTCAGAGTTATTGCCATTGACTTAGTATAATTTTGCAATTTCCAACACGTGTCGCATGTAACTCAAAAAGTATTTGACCTAGAGTCATGTAACTTTACAGGAATATTGATCAGCATGTGCAGTTGTGCACCAGGTATTTTTGTCTGGATTTATTTAGTATTTTTAGAGTTATTGCCCTTCACTTAAATTTTTTTTGCAATTTTCAACTTGTGTCGCAAGTTCTCAAAAAGGATTTGACATAGTCATTAAACCTTATGGGCAGGTTGCTAAGCATATTTAGATTTGCACCTGGGGTTTCGCTTGTGGATGTATCCAGTATTTGTAGAGTTATTTCCCTTGACTTTGTAAAAAGATTGACAGAACAGTGGCGCGGTGGGGGCACCCGTGTCCTATGGACACATTTCTAGTTATTAATGTTTCTCTTATTTCATTCATAGAACATGTTCACAGTTTATGACAAAGATATAAAAGGTAAAATAATGAATAAATATTTACGTGTGTGGAATACCAGATCTACACGGACGAGTCAGGTCACGATCGCATTTGATTTCTGAAAACAAATAAATTTTCATACTGTTTGTTTTGTTGTTTTTCTTGTAAATGAAAATTAGAGGAATATAGATATACGTTTTGATGATAATCAATATACGTTTATTATATGATTCTACATATCTCCCATGTTTTACTGGCGCCAAAAGCTTACTTTATATAAATATTAGAGATTCAAGGAGTAATAGTAAAAAGTAATAGTAAAATATTCTATTAATCGCAGTCACGTTGATACTGTTGTTATTTAGTATGTAAGGTTACAGCACATCTTGCAAGTAAAATAATATCAATGGCAAAGATGTTGACAAATCTGAAATGTTTCCTTCCCTAATCAACAGGAATATACATGTACTGCTGATTTCCATAGAATCAGAGGCATTTTTGAAATTATTCGCTCAAAAATTATATTTATTGTCTAGAAGTTGAGTATATTACATTTATTTGTACATTCATTGTTTTGTCGCAATTGATCCTGGGGCGTTTGAAGATGGTTTTCATGACATACTGAGTGATATGATGACGTTTTGTAGAAATCTTGATCCGGTAATTTAAATCTTTCAGTCTGTTTTCAAGTGTTGATCTCTTTGAAGTTCACAAAAGCTCCGAATAAACCACCGACGCTATTAAAGGACTATAGCTTTATTGGTCTGTTCCTCTTCATTAATAATTGGCACCTGAGTAGAACCACGGATTTTTCTGAAGCTAGCTGAATAGCTTCCTCACATGAAAAAAATAATCTTAAGTCCACGGTGGGATGTGAACCCAGAGCGTTGAGATTGGATGAGATTTACTTTAGACTTCAATTTTTATCATTGCAATTTTAACTTACGGTTCATTTTGTTTCAACTCTATGCGTACCTAATATTGGCATTTGAGATTCAGTTGGTATAACAGGTTGACGGTAAAACAGAGGTCTTGGTACCTGGTGATCCAGAGAGAAAACATATGGAATTATGTGACAGACGGGGAGGAATTCTTTACCATTCAAATCAAATCATTGCTTGTGTAAGTCATTGATGAAGTTAACAGCCGTGAGGATATTTTTTAAATATCTTTAATACATCACTTTAATACATGCACATAACTTAAAGTATAAAAAAATATTTTTCACTGATCAAATTGCAATATAGAAACGACATTGCCAGTATCTAAGTTGACTTCACTTCGTCGTCATGTCATTTAGAAATAAATTCAAGCTATTATAGGCATGTTATAAAGCTGGCTTTATGCCCGTTTCATTGAGCTGTTTTATGTCACTCTATTTTTAAAGGCACATTATGCTTCAGAAATGCTTTTTTATATATGTGACATGATTTTTAATTGTGTGTGTCTTGTTAAAGATTCCGAAAAGTTACTCATTTCATGACTATGCAATTAGTACAGTTATTGTGATTAAGAATTTTGTATAGAAGTCTTTCCAAAGAAGAAAACACTGATTCATTCCTGAGGCATAATGTGCCGCACTTTGAAATTATCTCCTGGACATTTATTGTACTTTAATATACGAAAAAAAACCATATCCCAGAATTCAGAGCAAATAAAATTTTAAATGGGGACAGGGGAAGGGGGCATGCCCAAAGACCGCACTCGAATTCAACCTTTTTAATAACTTAAAATCAAGCTTCACCACTGACTTAATAATTTAGTAATTTCAATTATCTAAATACATTGTTAGGGGAACAACAGAGTTTCATTAGGCATCAGACATGATTAAAGATGTAGTGTATATCTAGAAATATAATAATTGTTGAATTGATGTTTGTTTACTTTATTGCAGACAGATATTGCCTCAAGGTTACATGTTGAGCCTCTAACATAACTATGTTCCGTTCTCCAATGGCAACTTCGTCTTCTATTTTAAATGAAATAAATACAGATAAATGAAATCATACATTAATTTTTTTATTGTTGTTTTTTTAAACGTCGCATCAACACAGAAAAGATCATAATTATGACTCTTGTAGCTTTCTTCGTAGATGAAGACCTTAGGTGCCCCCATGCATAATGGTATCCACGAGCAAGCACCTAAGTAGAACACATGATGTTTTGTTAGCTAGATGGATATGTTCTTCACATGAAATAATCCAAAGTGATGTGTCCAATGCGGTACTTCGGACGAAAGTTTTCAAAACCATCACTTAGCAGGTACTCGCGTTACCGGCTCGTCGAGCTCGCTATTAACTAATTAATTAAAAATCTTGAAAAAAGGTGACAATTTGGAAGGAAGCATAAATCACAAAAAATTACATACAAACTTCAGACCCGGTTTGCTTTCAAGAGTATGTACATGAGGGGAATGAAAACGTGCAACATCCATCGCGCCCCGTAGCTACGGCTTGCGCGGTACTCAATTGTCAACTTTTACATGTAAAAGTGCTTATTAATAACTAAAATGTTTAGAACTTTTAAAGCCGATTTACTAAAGTAAATCTGTCACGACTCATATAAATAATTGTTATCCTATTGGACAAAAAAAATCAAATACTAAATTTATATTCATTTCATAGAATTAATATATCCATCCTTTTCTTTTTTAAGTATTTTATTGGAAGAAAACAATACGTTGAAAGTAATTATGCCATTTCAGACAATTCTCCTGAAATCCATGCCACAAAGGAGAGAAATTGATGACATGACATTCAAGAGACAATTTCCATATGTCAGTTCTCCTCATTCCGCCGATGTTTATAAGTCTGATAAATCTACTGAATTACAAGATAGACTTGTGAGACGTTAATGTATTTGTAATAATGTTGCCTTTTTATACCTTGTGCATTATCTGTATGTAGAGATATTCAGTATGTGTATAAACAATATCATAAAACGCGACAGTTTACGTTTAAATAGTGTGCATTAAGATTATTATGTTAAAAATAGTGTGCATTAAGATTATTATGTTAAAAATAGTGTGCATTAAGATTATTATGTTAAAATTAGCAGAACAGTATTTTTTGATTTAGTGTTTATTCGTGTTAAAAAGTAAGCATTTAGAAAATTGAATTCTTTAAGAGCGGCACTGCAATTTTATTGGACAAAAAGGTATTTCAAACACTAATGATGGATAATAACATTAAAAATAAATGTTTCATTTAAAAAAGTTTTTTTGATTTTGATGGAAAGTTATTTTAAAGTTATTCCGTGGTGGTCATACCAGAGATAGCAGTAATGTACAATATTGATTATTTGCTCCAGTTATCATCGACATCGTCAAGATAACTGTCAAAATTTATATTCAGAATCAACATAATTCGTCACGTTTGTGCAGTAACGGGATAATTGAATTTAGAAGGACTTAAACCGTTACTGCACCGTACCGTACCGTATATTCATCATACAAATCATCATAATTACGGTCGTTGTAAGTCATATTTATTATCATACACATCATAATAATCGTCAAATACCCCAGTATATTCATCGTCATCACATAAACCATGATCTTGTGGTCATTTTTTTTTAATTTATTATTATTCACATCATTATCATTATAGATCATATTCAACGTCATTATATAAATCATCATCTTCACCATCATCATCATTGTCGTCGTCGTCGAAAATCATATTAATCATCATCATCATCATCATCATCATCGGCATCGTAAGTCACATGTATTATCATCATCATCGTCGTCAGAAATCATAGTACATATCATCATCATCGTCGTCGTCGTCGTTAATCACAATTATCATCATCATCGCCGACGTTGTCTTTGTCATACATAACATATATTATCCACAGTATCATGATCGAAAATCACAATTATTATCATCAACATCGTCGTCATCGTCGTCGTCGTCGGTAATCATATTTATTTTATTTATTATTATATACATCATTATTATCGTCGCCATCATGTTTATTATCATCATTATTATCATTTTCGTCATTATTCAAATTGATCATCATGTACATAAACAGTATGTCACAAAATCAATTATATTTTATCTATTTTTAAATATAATCTCTTATAAACCTGTTTCTAGGAATAGACAGTTATAATACTGACCAGTGTAAATAGTTTTCTTCATACCTGAGTGAACACTTACCTGTATTAGTTAGCTGGCCAATGTGTTAAAAATGTACTGTTATGTATAGTTCATATAGGTTTACACTCAGTCAGTTTTGCTCAGTTTTATGAAGAATTATGATGTTAGAGCTTGGCAGAATTCATTATTTAAATTTAATGAAAATGGTGTTCATTTTATAAAGCCATTTTAATGACAAGCTTTATTTAACAGTGACTGTCTACCTAGATATCAGGGTAAGTGAAATATTTAATTATTTGCAAATTGTAAATGTGTTTCTATGAATTCCTTTGTACATGGAAAATTATTGGATAAAAGTAAATTTGTTATATTGAATAAGTTAAATTGTAAATATGGGTTTCTTTTCCTATACTTAACTTTCATACATTTGTTTTACTCAAATTTAATGTGTGTGAAATATCTAGTAAGAAAATGGCTTCATTGATAGGTCATGGTGTTGAAGGACGTATCAATGTCAAAAGCGTGCATGTTGCTATGGTTTTATTAGCGTGAAGTACCAGCAACTGAATACCACACAGTATTTTGTATTATGCTGAGAGTGGATCAACATTAATTGTATCGTCTACGCAGAATCGTAACCTTTTATTTTGCTGTTCTACATTGACCTTTGTTGGTCGGAGATGACATTTTGTTATTACAAGAATTGACCTTTATAGGTCGGAGGTAACATTTATTATTATGACCTTACATGGTCGGTGTGATTGACTTTCAAAGTTAGTGTGAATATTGACCTTTTAAGGTCGGAGCAGTTCCGTGTGGCATTCTACATAGTGTTTTGGACGGTAAAATAAACTGTAAAGTGGAATGAACGATAGAGACAATATATGTGTTTTAATATGTTTTCTAAGGATATTTTCCAGTGACAATAATTAAAATTTCTTAATTACTTTAGGGAATTTAAAATTTCATAACTACCAAATAAGTACTTTTCTATTTGATAAAATATTTTAGTGAATGCATTGAATTTTATTGTATAAATAAATGTGTATATAAATGTAAAAGGTCTTGTTTGTAAAATAGTTAATTTGATGATAGAACTACCCACTCTGGCCATCTCTGACTTGTGACATTTGGTGTCAGAAGTGGGATAAGTAGTTCTCCATGAAAGTAACTATTAATAAAAAAAAATATTGTGTTTTATTTTAGAAATTATGGTCATTCTTTTCAGGTTTTGGTTGTAATCTATGAACAAAGGAAGTGATTGAAGTTGTGTTGTTTTACAGTCGGACCCTGATGTCTAGAGTTCAGTCACTGTTCTGTGTGTAGTAAGTACAGGTACTAATAAAGGTAGGAGGTTAGAATTCTGCCAGGTTCATTTAGTTTTGAAAATTGGTTTTACACTTCACCTAGATTTAAATTGTATTGATAAGTGGTACAGGTATATACATGTTATAAATACTTGTGGTTTCTGTGTGGCTGTACAAATCTATGAAAGGGTATTTTATGTTATATTGTCAATGAGCGAAACATTAGCAAAGGGATATGTTATTTCTTATTGACAATTAGTCAATGTATATATTGTATATATGTTATAGTGTTTTAATAATCATGGAATCTTTAAAAGCAATAACAGAATTAGGTCGACAGATGGGGTATGATGGGGAGGAGCTTAGAGCATTTGTGAAAGATCAACAAGACAGACAGCGAGAGGAAAGGAAAGAGAAACGTGACATCGTTCAAAGGGAACAACAGGTAGAGCGTGAAAGACAAGAGTATGAATTGAAGATGGCTCAGATTAAGTATGAGACTGATAAAGTAGCTCAAGAGGTAGACATGAAGGTAAGAGATAACAATACATTAATTGAGCAAGAACAAATTAAAATGAAACTCCTACAAATGGAACATGAACAAAAACTAGAATTGTTAGACAAACAACAGGAGGTAGGTGAGAGTATGCATCCTCCTTCTTTTGCTTCTAAATTCTGTCTGACTAAAGAATTGAAAATGCCACCTTTTGATGAAAATCATGATGAAATGGACTCGTATCTGAAAAGATTTGAAAGGTATGCAATAGCAGTAAATTGGGAAAAGGAAATTTGGGCTACAAATTTAAGTGCATTATTGAAAGGTCGAGCTTTAGACGTATATGCCAGAATGCCTGCTGAGAATGCACTTGATTATGATGAATTGAAAGCTACATTATTGAGAAGGTTTGAGCAAACGGAAGAGGGTTTTAAGAAAAGATTTCGTTCATGTAGGCCTGAAAAGGGTGAGACATATTCACAGTTTGTTGTAAGACTAGAAAGTTATATAAAACGTTGGATTGAAATGGCAGAAATAGAAAAGTCTTTCGATAGTCTTCTTGACTTAATGGTGAGAGATCAGTTTTTGCATATTTGTAATAAAGAACTGACCTTGTTTCTTTTAGAAAGAATACCAAATTCATCAACACAAATGGCAAAATTAGCTGACCAGTATTGTGAAGCACGTTCTTTGCCTGCTTCTTCATTCGTGTTTAGTCGTAATGAACATGTCAAATATACTAAACCAGTTGAACGTGGTAGAAGTGTTGAACGTAAGCTAGATTCTCATGTAGCACAAGGTAAGGACAAAAATTTTCCTTCAAACATAAGACGATGTTATCGTTGTGGTAAGACGGGTCACATTGCCTCTGATTGCAGAGTTAATCTTTCCCATAGAAAACCAATTGCTTCACTTCAGGTATCAGACAGACACAAAAGCAGTGTACATTTCGATGATAAAGTCGAACAAAGTAAGTCAAGATCAAGATCACCTACACCAGATTGTAAGGATGTTAAGGTTTGTAATGCTTTTATGCCGTTTACTGATAGTGTTTCTTACACTTCACCAGGATCTAGCACAACATTAAGTTCAGCTTGTG